AAAAAAAAGGGTTGTGGGTCAGAAAAAAGGGAATCCCAAAATAAGGTCCCAAATAGGTTGGCAGCAAGTGTTTTGTCCTCAACAACCTCCAGAGGAACTTTGTTGGGTGGATTGATCCAAGGGTGCAAGAGATGACACACCCCAGGTGCCACCAGTCGTTTTCCTTCCAGTCGTGCTTCATGCTTGGAAGGAATGCTGGTGACCGTAGATGATCGTCGATAGGTCGATGAGGTCCCAGGTGGAGGTCGCCGTCGTCGGTGCACCTGCGGACCGGACCGGTGGTTTTTTCCCGAACCATGAAACAGAAGGATGCAGACTACGTAGTGGGGGAGGTCAAGCTATGCCGGGGGTTGTATTTAAGGCTCCGGGTGACGGGCAGATGTGTGTTTGGAGAGGCCAGAGAGTGGCTGATGTCGCCAGAGGAGCCAGGCTCTTTGTTTTGTGTGCTTTTTCCCCTTTTTTTCCTCATGACAAGGCTCCATAAGGCTCCCCTTTCTTTGCACCAGTTTAAACATACTCTTGTTACGTTCATTCATTACCTCTTTTTTGCCAACCAGTCAGTTTCTTTTGTGGTCTTTAGGGACCTCCCGTTGAGGTGACCTACCAGGATCTTCAGTTTTTTCAGCAGGAGGTCCGAGCGGCCATCAAGGAGCAGACAGATGGACTGTGTTGGAAGAAGGTTCTTGGAATTTGCCCAATTTGGTGCGTCAGTGTTTGGTGAAAGACAAACAACAGTTAGGTATACAGATGATGAAGCTATGGATGTGGGAACCTGCAAGTGTGCAAGGTTTTATGGGGGCTATAACTCTTGGTCGCAGGGGTTGCAGGGGATTGCACTCAGAGTTGTGTAACTTCCAATACCACGATTTAAGTCTATGGCATCCTGTCGACGGCACGATGGGAGGAAAGTCATGGCGAGATTTGTCCCCCTGCCCGGCACCAGTTGGCTTCTGACAATGCCTCTGAGGATGCAACATGCAACTCCCCAAAGATGTTAGATGACTTTGCTTTTGTACGGACCTAGACCTAGACCGTGATAGACCGCCCTGAGTACCACATCGTTTTGTACCACCTGCCGCACTGGCTTCAGCGCATCGGACCGCCCCTCTCTGAGGGTCCAGCGGTCCGCCGCACAGTGCCGCAGGAGGGTCAGATCTTCGCCTGCGACTTTTCGAGCTCCATCTCGGAGTGCGGACGCGATGCGGAGATCTACGGGCCCAGCATTTATTTGGTCACGTGGACACTGGTGGTTTTTGGTCACGTGGGGGCACTGGTGAGGGGAGCGTGGAGGGGGGGACTGGTGGCAAAGAATTCTGCCTGGGTGATGTGTGTGTTGTGTGTGTTAATGTGTTGTATGTTTTTTACGGGACCATCCTGGACCTAAACTAATCCACTTGCCACTTGCCCCAAAGTTTGCCTATACAGGGCATGGATTATTGCGGTATAATTAGATGTGCGTTGCGCCATGGCACCATGAGGGTCCAAAACAGAAACGCTGATGACCGATTTGCGGACCGATGATTGCGGAGCGATTTGCTTGAACGATCCCTGGTATTTCGGTGGGTTTTCATACTGTAGAGGTTTTGGTATAACACAGACCATACACGGTGACCTGTGGAATTGCTCCCTACGAAAGGCACCTATTCCTTAATTATACCATTACCAAAACTCACATGGCACCCCAGTTGTACAGGTAGGCTTTGGCCATGGGCCATATCCCATTTTCACAGTAGAAACGACTCCAGGGTCCAGATACGTTCTTCTCAGTCAAATACTTGGTCAGTTGGCACACAGTGCTGCACGGCCGACTGCTTGGAGGGCGGCTGGAGCGGCTGGTCCTGGTTTCATGACGTGCTTCAGCCCACCTTTGGAAGGCTGATGCTGATGAAAGTTGGATGTTTGCACTTGCGCCGCTTGCGCTTGGATGGTTGTTGTTTCCCCTGTGGCTATTTTGACCACCCACTTCAGCTCAGACGAATCCAGAATTCGTGGAAGACAAGCATTGTTGAGGTCAACGAGAACTATATCAAGCCCATCACTGCTGCAGCGGGAAAAATGAGTTGGGCCTTGATGATGAACCCCGAGGGCTTGGATTCCGATCTTTTCATCACGCCACTCAATGGCTGTTCGAGAGTGCTCACTTTGTGTTGGGTCCATGAACGGACAGGACATACAGGCATTCAAAAAAGAGATGTTCTTGGTTGACCGTCTTTGCATGCGTGGAGTATAATTAGATCACGTATGAGCATGTTGTTTCCTGATTTACATGTGTTTTGTGTTTTTTGCTTTTTGTGGGACTTGTGGACATGCAGACGCTGCAGAGGCCCCTTGTCTATAGGTTTCGGGAATGGTTCAGAATCTGGACCAGAGGATACTTGGTTGATTCTTCCCTTTGGAATCCTTTGAAGGTGGACACCGGTAGACGAAGAACAAACGCTTTGGTGCTGACTTCGCCCCGGAATCGATCTGCCGAACTGTGTTCGACCACATCCGTTCGTCCGGCCTGTACCGAGTCCGGCGAACCGGGTGTTCTACTGTACTTAACGGATGCTGGACCAGGATTTTCAGTTCGTGACCTCTTTGGAGTCTGTAAGTGACCTCTTTATAGGATCTCAAAAGGTCACGTACTGAAGGTCCTGGGAAGTGTATTATATTTAGAATGATAAGACCCTCGACAGTTGGCTCGCGAGACCCTAGTTGGCTCGCGAGACCCCACCTATAGTTGAAAGTGAGCTCACTTTTTTGGGGGGCAAATCGGCAAATCAAGTGCTTTGTGTTTGGGGATCGCTTCCGTCGCATTGTTGATCAGTTTTAGCTTGAGATTTCAGAGAGTTCTGGCTGCCTTGTGGGACTGTTTTTTTTGGTCCTCAAGTAGTTCCCTATTGGTCCGTTTTGCCTCAATTGGCTCGAAGTAGTGCTTTTAATGTTGCTTCAACTTGGACTTACATCATCTTACATCAATTTGCTGGTTCGTTTGGCCCCCAGGTTTCATCGGATTTTTTCTAAATAGACCGAAAAGAAAGCCGGTCTGGTACTGGATCCGATCCGTGGCTTTGGCACGCCAGGCACGCCTGGCAAGAAGGCATCTTCGAGTTTCTGGAGAAAGTCCTTACTAGCTGGCCTGGAGGAGCACGTCACGCCTGGTGCTGCAGCACGGGATGCGATCAAGACGAAAGACGAAAGCAAAAGCCTGTCGCAGATCGGGGGGTTCATAGGGTTTCATATGTTTCAGCCATCCTTTGGTGGTTCGAAGACCGGCAAGCCTGGGGCTGGCAGTCCACTCTGGGCCCCCCACTCTACAGTTCCGTGGCTAAAGAACCCGCATCAGGCGCTCCAGAGCTCCAGAGTTATGTTCCAAACGGTCGACCAGAGCTCCAGGCCTAAAGCATCCTTGCTCCATTCGTAGCGATGCCCTTTGCCCCGCTTCTTGCTCCTAGTAGTAAGGCCAGGAACCCCGAACGTAGCGTCCTTGTTCCTACACCTATTGGCATTCAGTTGTTGTCAATCCATGGATTCGTGGTGTTTGAATTCGAGAAGTCGGTCAACCGAAAGACACGGATAACTGAACTGAACACCGGACCGATAGGTCCGCGGACCCGCTCCATAAGTCCGGTTGGACCAAGAAAGGACGCAAGCCGACTTCACGTGTTTCAACTGGCGCCAATTGGTCTTCGGATGTCAAGTACGAACACACAGTACTTACAACACGAATAGGGCGCCCTATTGTGTATAGTAAATAAAGGAACCAGCAAAATGGGTGTGTTGACCCATGTTGACCCCAGCAACACGGTATGTCGGTTGGGAGATTGATCGGAGCACACACTTCCCAGCGAGCATGCATGGTCCCGTTGTGTATGAGGGAAATTGTGCATGCTTGCTCGCAGAGCAATAATCGTGTGCTATATAATATAATCTGTATATATGTAAAGCTACCTTTTGGAACCTTTGAGCCAAACTGGTGCACCTAGCAAATCTAAGCAGCAGGGCTCGCCGCCTTTGGCTGCTCACTGCTCAGCGCACGTAAACGCTCAGCGTTTCTGGATCACCGTCCGAGGTATGCTTGCGAACCCGCAGCATCTCGGCAGAGCTGGGCTTTGAGAAGATCTGAGGTAGTGGGGTGATTCAGACGACCCACACTAGTGGTGGTGTGTAGTGGGTCTGTTGGATGATGTTATGATGTGATGTGTTGCTCCACATTGCCCAGTCAAGGATGACACCTCATCTCGACTCCCAGCGACTCACTTCTCGGCCCAGGAATTTGGACATCTCCGCCTTGCTCCACTCGCCCTCCTTGTCGCCCTTCGCGGTCGCCCTGCAGAGTTCGGAGCACCCTGGTGGGATCGGCGGGATCCGGCGGTGGACCGGGGAGGAGGTGGAAATGGAGAGAGCCGCTTCGGCAAGGCCTCTTTCCGGAATGAAGGTGGATGGGATGGTTCCTGGAAGACCATGAAATCTTCTACAAACAACGGGGTTGTCCACTTCCATGATTGTTGTAGGGAGGGCAAATCATACTTATTGTCATGGTATCTCATGGTTCTTGGATGTAATCGTGCTGTGGATGTTGCATCTTACAGGTAACGTGTTCTTCATCTATATCTTCCGGAATGCCAGCCACCTCTCCCAAAAAGCGCCCATATATATTTGTGCATATTTGTGCCAAAGGAGCAGATTTATGGGCACCCATGATAGCCCAATATGTTGGCTCGCATGTGCCCGTTCCGAGGTATATGTTGGTGGTGCCCAATCGCTACTGCAGCGTCTACACCCGTCTTTGGTGCGGCTACGAGGCCTACCTCGCTGCCGAGGGGCACAAGACCATTCGCACGGCTCGGCGCTCCATCAAGCGGCAGGCGAGGGGCGGGTGGAAGGCGCTGGGAGGGACGGGTGAAGAAGATGTGACCAGGACCCGACACCTCCGAACTCGGGGTGTCTATGTAAATAGCCGGGTGTCCAGACCCACCACTTGGAGATCCGAAGATGAGAACATGTATAGGAACCTTTGAGACGATGTTATATGTAATTAGGAATCGGAATCCTGTTACTTTCAGGACTTGGAACAGAGACGTGACATAGCGTTTGAATGCGTTGTTCGTTGTCACACGCTATGATCTATCTATCCATTAATATCCAACATGTTCGATGATGATTTGCATGTAGTGTTTGTGCGCTGGAACACTCTTAATGTAGTTAGCACTTTGGATAATCCCTAGTTTGGGCAGATGCTTCTTTGAGAAACCCCATGCATCCTATACATCAATTTCTCTTCGAGGTTGCTTTCCACACGTCAGAATGCAGGTTCTGAGATTGTGTCGGGTGTGTTTGGGGGATCTGACTCAACACTCTCCTTTCTTTTTTCAGTGGACTGGGTCGACTTGGGCATTTTCACCTGCCAGTTTGCCTGGCACTTTGTCAGTCACAGTCACAGAGGTACTTTTGCACTTGTCTTCTTTTGAGAACTCTTTATAACTCTGTATACGTTTGACCGAAGTACCTTATACCCCAAGCACCTTCTCGGTCAAACTGATTTTTGTGAAGGGTGCTCTCATGGCAGGTCATAATGGCCTATCTCTGGATGTGTCCCACCTGCTTGTTGGGCATTGCTTTGGGCCTTCTCTTCGAGCGTATCGATTTTAACTTCGACCACGATCTGGCCACTCGGTCCGACTCAGTCCTCTCTGAAGCGGTGGCACGGTGGGTATCGGCGCTTGTTGGATTCGGAGCCGTTCCCGTTGGTGGTTTAGGCGTCGACCAGATCCATCGGTCACCAGAGTTCTTGGTCCGCCATCCTCTTCGATGGGATGCTTTGATGGGTGTGATATGGTGTGATGCTTCGTGGTGGGATGGTTCTTTTCGGTTTGGCACTCGGTTTGGGGTTTAGGCGGTTTAGGGTTTAGGGTTTGCAGAGATAGAAATGGTTGAAACATGTTGAAAAGGCTCTTCACTTTTGTTGAGGAGTTTGCTCGGCCATGCATGTGGGTGGGTTTCTCGTGTTTAAAGGTTATTTTGTTTGTACTCGGTGAGTTCAGCTTTCTGGGCTCCTAAGAGCATTTAACATCGGCCCCTTGAACTTTGGAAACTGTTTTTATTCTCCAGGTCTGCGTTCAACTCCTAGCAGCCTAGCATGCCCTTCTCAGAGTCTGATGTGGCCTCTTTGTTGATGTACCGCGTCGCTAGCCGCTACCCAATCAATTATATATTTCTTGTTCATATCAATTCCAGCTGCCGCGCTACAAAGCTTAGCAAAGACTACCCCCCCCACCCTATCAAATCCCTACATGTCCAAAATCAATGTTGGCCCCAACATAGATCAACAGTACTTCGGATGTATTTGGCAAATGCGAAGTTAACTTTTGTCCGCTCTCTTCGAAGAATCCCCGACCGGCCACGCGGTTCGATCGCAGACGCGCTCGCGTTCATTCCGTTCGCGTTGGGCACAGGTTGACACGGGTGCGTCAGGACCAGTGGATAATCACCTGCAAAACCGGACCGTGTTTTCTTTTTTCGTGGGGGGGGATTGGTTTCTCCTGGTTTCACCACTAAATATGAACAGATTAGAAAAAGCTTACAGTCATACCTTTTTTTCCAGGGAAACCGAGGGAGTCAATGGACACATGTTGACACCTGTGCGCTCAATGGCTTGCTGCGTGGATTCGCAGATGCGCGGATGACCCAGGTGAGGTCGGTGCACTTATTTGTGTTTGATTCGCACTGAACATCAGGTGATTTTGGCCTTCGTGGCGAATGTCCTGGGCAAACATTTCGGAGAAACACTCTGCCTGCTGGCGAATCACTTGGGCCTGGCCAGTAGCACTGCCTTGGTCATGGGGACGACGCACGGCCATCCAGCGAGTGCGGCGAAGTCGTTGGTTTGGGAGGATGAAAGGGGTTGAAGATCCGCTGAAGTCGAACCTTGCAGATGGACATGTGATGAGAACATATTGTTAATGTATATATAGTAGAATATGACATATATTTAATATATATTTAATGTACGAAATATATGCATATAAAATCATATGAAATGTAATATGTGTTGAATCATACATTCATTTATATAGACATATCATATCCGCCGCGTGATCACGACATGTTTTTTAATGCGCTCCAGATGACCCGTTCGATGACCCGTTCGATCCATTTTCCTCTCAAGAAACACAACGACACTATATTGCATGGGGGCCCCACCCTGAAACCCTGTGACCTTTAGGTGCTGACCTATATATGAAAACCATGGCGGACCGGACGTCTCCTTCCCCCGACGTCTTCCTTTAAGACTTGGTTGTTCGCCCATCTCGTTGGACCTGGAGCCACTTCGCCGCACGCGGCCGGGACGCCTGAGGAGCCCGCAGATCACAAACTTTCTGGAGGGGATCCCTTGTCCCATCTCCCACGAGATCGCGTGACCTAGATGATGAAGTTTCCAAGAGGTTTCCGGAGTCGATGTGTCTTTTTCTTTTTGCAGAAATCCAGGTGGTGCGTGACCTGTCAGTCTTCCATCCAACAGCCCTTGATGGGTTTCTGCAATAGAACTGTTCACATGATGAGCACTTGAGGATGAGGCATTTGTAATTGTAGCATTTGCTTGATAATGATATCAGGAGTTTTTGAAACGATACGGAAAACAGGGATGTTCACCTGTCACAAGTGGTAGAGTGCAATTAGAAGAGAACGTGTCTGAAGCAGCTTAGTGATTGTGATAATGTGATATAATATGCGATAATGCTATGTTCTCCAGCATAGCAGTGACACCAGCATGGGAAGTCACAGTTGAAGGAAAGGAACTCCTGCGATGCTATTGTCGCCCTAGGTGTTGTTGTTTTTTTTTTCCCGTGAATTGAAGACTGGGAAGCTACACATCCCAAACACTCCCAAGCTCCAAGTGATATCGGAAATTGTCCAAGGCTACACTTGGGTAGTTGTTTGGTTTGGGTCGCTGCCGTTGAACATGATTGAAGAAGAGGTGATCCATGGTTTAAGATTCTGTGTGCTTCATCCAATGGAGAAGAAATCACCGGCTGGGTTTGATGTCAAACAGGCAATTTATGTTATACCCCTGCAAACAAGAACCTGAACAACATTCTTAAGAGTGTTGGTCTATGGTCAGCTTCCAGGCTAGTTTGGCGATGTTTAGATATAATTAGTGGTGTATATTGGAATCTAATCCATTGGATACAGTAAACTTCTGGATCGGGTCCACATCAAGAGCCACACTTTTTCAGCGACCCCAGCTGTTCAGACACCAAAATCTGGCCGTGTTGCAAGGACATGGGTCCAGCGTTTGCTTTGCTTGAGCTTCTTGACTTCGCCCGGAGAACAACCAAAGTCTAGCAGGAAAGTGTTCTGTTTAAGGTCCAAAGCTGCGAGAGAATCCTAGAGTCAATGGGGGGCAGCAAGAATTATTGGATGCAAATGAACTGCGGTCTGCTAGGGGTGTAGTGGTGTTTTTCCGTGTATGCTAATTAGTTTATGGGTTGAAGGAGGGTCTTGAACATAAAAAACATTGGGATGTGTTGCAGTACATCAATTCCTTAAGCAGCTTAAACTACGAGACCGGAGTTTCGTTGTTCTCTTGGGTATAGCTGGGTTGGGTGTATGTAGACATCTCTGAACTCAAGAGACACCCAGCCCATTGAACTTCTCTTGCCGGGTTGGACCTTGGACAACGGGGCCCTGAAGGTTGGACCACGGTGCTTAAGGAGACCTCCCAAGAGCCCCCTGGAATAAGAAGGAAAATCGACTCCAAACCCTTTTTTTTGAGATGAGTATCAGCCCTATGAAAAATGGTTGATGTCCCTAATACACACAGATCTATGAGCCATTTGGAGCGCCATAAAGGGGTCTCTTTGGGGGAGGATAACTGATGAGCTCACTTTTGCTCGAACTGCTTTTCAACTCACAGAGTGGCCATGGCTTAAAGCTGAGCCATGGCTTGCTTGTCAAATGTTGCAGTGACATCATGTGACATTCTTGTTTGTATCAACTATAGGTTGCAAGACATCCTTGATTTTCCTGGTGCGCGTCATCTTCCCTTGTTCGAATTCAGCCTGCGTCATCATCCCGTTGGTCGGAGATCTAGGGTAGATATCTGCCCCAAGACACAACAAAAATCCACCAATCATCCACCATCGACACTGGGACTTCACACATTCTTCCCACTTCATCACCTCAGATCCGATCACCTCTGGCACCGATCACCTCTGCGTGCATTCGACTGCAACATGATGTCTTAGAGGCCAAGGCCTCCGGGGTCATCGGATCCGCAATTTCTGGGCCCCTTGGGGACACTCATATCTTTCCGGACCAGACCTCTATGACTCTATGACCGTCCAAAAACCACCGCGCTTATGTACCGTGTGCCGCGCCAAGCGCAGGGGTCACTCCCAGGCTTGGTCTTCTTTTTCTTGATCGCCGAGTCCGACCGTGTCTTTTGGCACCAGCTGCATGTCGAGGGGAGTGAGCTCCGGAAGCAGTATCCAGGAGCGATCGATGTTCCAGCGACGGAGGGAGCATGGACGGGGAGCATGTGCCATGTGTGTTTTCCAGAATCCCAGACACTCCATGCATGCCATATATGCCTACATTGACCCCCAAAACCACCCCAACTGCTCGGCGGTCCTATGGCAGTCCCATTAGTCGTGTCTGGGAATAGAGTTGGTCTCTGGTGCTTTCTGGAGCTGCACCTCTTGCGGTAACCGGCGCGTCTGACACGTCCGCGCCCTCCGGACGACGACCGTGTCCGGCCGTTCTGTCCAGAGGATCGATTCGTGGCGCCTCGTGCTCCGAACGAAGAGATGAAGAGAACATTCGCTCCTCGGACGAAGGCTTCATCGGCGACCGGGGGTGAGGAGTCGTGAGGCGATAGCGGGTCGATAGCGGAAGAAAGGTGGGTTGAGTCGGCGTGGACGTGGAAGGTCAGAAAATGAGACGTGGAACGTGGGCGAAGAATCTAAGTATGAAAGTCAGGTTTGTTGAGTTCTATGACAGAAAACAAAAACATGTCGTTAATTTGTTTGTGTGTTGTTTTAGTTCTATCTAGTTCCATGTTTAAGTCTTCCCTCCATACACTATACACATAACCTTCCGCAGAGATTATGCTAGAAACAGCCAGTGTGACGGTTCTATTCGTTTGATCTTCAATCTGTGCGTACTTTCTCCATGGCACGACGTGTTCCACATTTTCTCTCAGGTAGTGAGATTGGCGACAAGGTGGATGAAGTGGATGTGGTCATTCATGTCTTGATCAACGCAGGTCTCATGTCGGAGCCGCTCAGGAACGCCTATTTGAAGGGCGTGAACATCGAAAACACGGGCCCCTCGTCACCCGAATGCGAGTCGCGTGGCACGTTTTTGCACACATGCGAGTTGCGTGGCTTGGAGTCCTTTTCGAACCAATTGAGAGATGGCGGAACGACTCGCAACAGGTTAATCTGACAAATCACATCTTTTGAGATAGATGGGGAAGACCCTTAGGGAGACTGCGGCCCTGGGTGAAACTGTGGCTCCTATAGTTTATTCGTCATAGTGTTTTTTTTGTGATGCCGAATTCAGATGAAAAAAGGACTTGACTTCCGATTCTTGAAGAGAATCAGGGTCAACATTATTAGCCACAGATCAGACTTTCACTGGTTTCAGACCCGTTCTTTTGCTGGTTGCATTGCTTTCTTCGTCCCCTAGCCCTGTTGTAGCCCTGAACAGTGCCTGACGTGCTTTCCCCCCTTCCCCAACAAGACTAGCGACCAGCTGCGGGTCGCAGGGGATGCTGAGTGGGCCATTCCAATGATGTTTCTTGGACCTCAGCTCATGCTGGGCTTTTGGCAGTTTGGACGATGCTCGGCCGTGGACCGCAGCACGCAGCAAGCAGTCACTCATTTGGGACGAAGCAACAAGCACTCCAATACTTGGCTGTCCTCAGGTGGTCCCTTAGGATCTTAGACATTTTTGCATCTTTTTGTCTTTTGTTTACTCTCAGACGTTATATACGTACGCAAAGGATTTTGGGATGAAAACCGAGTCCTCAAAGATGGATAGAATCTCCTGCAGATCCATCCAAGTCGATGGACAGAGGAATTGTATCGTGAAGAACGGCATCGTCTGGACGTCCTTTTTGGGATATGAATCTGAGGGGTATACCACGCGTCAATCCGCGACCGGAGCGGATGTGGGTTTCTTCCTTCCGATTTTAGGTTGAGGGCGACTCGTCTTGGGCGACTCCAAAAAGCTGAACTTAAGGAACGGTGGAACTCACATAAAACCAGGAATAATACACCCCTTCGTAGAGGACAATGCCCTTGGGCTGGTCCATGCCATCTATGTGGAACAGCAGTGCAAAACACAGAAATCATCGCAAATCTCAGGGTGGCAGGACTTTTCCAAGCGGCTGGACTCAGGATATGCGTCCAACGTGTCCCTTTGGGAGCCTTACGATGGCGGATGGCTCTTGGTAGTATTCCAGGCAGGAAGCAATCAAATTTGTGAAAAGAGTCAAGCGGCCAGCAAGTATTCCAAGAACTGTGGCTGCTGCCGCTGTTGCAGGGCATGTTAGATGGCTTTACGAAACATTCAACTGCACTGGTGAATCCACAGCCCACGACACACCTGTAACCCAAGTGCACAAAATGCCTCGATGTAAAAGGTAGACTCTCGTATACTTTTCTTTTACTACAACCATCTAAAACCCTCCCAATCTGACGAGGCTGAAAACAATCCAACTGTAGGAGGGTATTACGAATCCTGCAGAGTCTATATATACAACTAGTCAAACCCCCTCTTAGTGAGACACAGACACACCCGTGACGCACCCCAAATCTTCCACTTGGCCCTATGCGTATCACAGACCACGCTCCTTTCAGCTCTTGCCGTTCGACGGGTTCCGCCAGTGACACAGGGGATCTCCATCGTGGCGCGGCTGTGCTTTCTGGTGTTGCTCTGGAGAAGCTGCATTGACGAGCGGTGCTTCATGTTGAAGGTGATGACCAGATTGGTGAACGCCTCAGAGAACGGCAGCGAGGCAAGGTCAGTTGAGTGATCTAGAGTTGGTGATCTATAGTCAACATGTGATGTATCCTGCCTTTAGCTTTGTGGCGCTTGAAATCAACTTCACCATTCCAAGTTCTCAAGAAGTTTTTTTTTGCGGGAGCAAGGCAACCAATAGACACTTCCACGGCCAGTGGCAAAGGTGTTGGTATGTGTTGGTCGACCTTCAGGCTCAGGAAACAAGCCCCGCCAGGTGGCCCTAAGTAGGTTCACCTGCAGACAAATCGCTTTCAATCCGACAGCGTCCCCACTGCAGATTTGCCCCGTCGGGCCGCTGTAGTTCACCACTCTTGACGTCGCCCGTGGACGTCGTCCGCCGTCGCCGTCTCACCCGTGCTACGTCGAAGAACACCGCCCTGAAACGACGTGACGCACCGCACGGTGGCGGTCGTGGAAACCACCGCCAACCCGAGGTCTCACTGATTCTTTGCACCTCTTTGGTCGCCTTGGCAGCTGGAGCACGTCCCTTGGTCTTATGACATCGGTCGGAGCTGGAACCGGAGCAGGTCACGGGCTGAACGTGGGATGCGGTGCGAAGACGCGCTGTTTGCGCTGTCTGCTGTCGTTCAAGGTACTCCACTGCTGGTGATGGTGATGTTCGTGACCTATCATGGGACCTTTCCACTGGTGCTCTTCTTCGCAGCTTTGGGGATCCAAGGCACTTTGAAGCTTTGGTATGGGGATCTGGATCGGGGGAGGCTGGCTAGGCTGGTGAAAGGACGGCGAGGAGGGCCTTTGGACATTTATGTTGAGCATGTATAGTCTTAGCAATATCATTACGCGGCATTATCCATTCATGGCGATATCCATGTTGATCATGTTGAGCTGCTTTTAGTCTTAGACTGCACACCGAATATCATGAGATCTGAGATTCTTCATGTGGCTAAGGAACTTGCCTGGTGGTAGGTGGCTGCTAAGCCTCTTCGTTGCACGGTGGCTCGGACGAAGTTGAAAGAACGCTTGTCCTGTGTACTGGAACTTTATCGGACAGGAGCTTGCATGAAATGTTTCAGGATGCCCAGAGGAGCTATTCAGTGATGGCACGGTTTTTGCAGGTATCAAGTCAGGCGGCGCTTCCCAAGATGTTTCGAGGCCAAACAAAGCTGAGTATACGGGCATGTGTTCTGTTTACGCTTTCCTCGAACCGATCCTTGCGCTCGGGGACATCCACGCACGTCCCTCACTGGAAGGCCTCGGCTTCAACCAGAAGCAGGCTGAAAAATAAGTAGACTGGATCTACTAGATCATATATAATGACCTTTTTTCATTTAGCAGTTATTATGTTAGATCTCCTGAGTCTTTGATTCGTTCCACATTGCATCTGCCTTGAATTTCTTTCCCGTCTCATGATGTATCATGATGTATAGCGCTTCTAGACGTCTATAGATCTTATGTCATTGCGTCCGTTAAAATCAGTTGAATCTTGTTGTTTGTTTTTCCCCAAACAGTTTACTGTTGGGGTTCTATCTTAGAAAACAAAGAGCTGGCCACACTCACTGGTCGCGCCCCTGAACTCTGTGGCTGGGCTCTGTGGCCCGGCTCTGTGTCCGGGTCTTGTCCTCCTCTCGTCCTTGTCTTGGCCGCGCCCCTGAACTCTGTGGCTGGTCTCTGTGGCCCGGTTTACTGGAGAGGAGTGTGGCCGAACAAATAGCGATGTCAATGCCGACAAAATTCATTGATGAAGCGGCTTGCTCTTGGGGTGAAAGTAGGGCGTGCCAAGAAATCGACGTTTGACTAATATTGGTCTAAACGTGTCGTCTTGAAGCTGTTTGGGGTCTATGCTTGTTACATCTTTGTACTCCTCATGTTGATCACCTGAGCTGATCCTTTTCACTCATGCCTGTTCATTCCTTGAACTTCAATCCCTCCTCATGTTGACGTTTGCTCCACCTGAAAGAGCTCCAAGGCACCGCTGGCGTCGGAGCGCGAGCACAGGCGCGGAGACCGCGGCGAGCAGCAGCGACGCCTCGTCGAGTGAAGCTGGCACCAGCTGAGGCCCCCAGCATCGATCGGGGTGAAGCGGATGACTCAATGGGACGTGTCACTGCCAAGCAATGCTTATTCGCATTCTTGAGTTGTTGTTTTTTTTCATTGTTTTGGGTGTGTTGGTTGGTTGTTTGTAGTGAAAAAGAGACCATCGCTGTCAAACTATGAGCTGGGCACCAGCGCACCTAATCTAGAGGGCTTCACTGCATGGTCTATATACCATGGTTTCACACGTTGTTTATTTGGCACATGTTGCTTGAGTTCTATGAGAGTACGAAGTGAACCGTGTGAAGTGCACCGGACACATTCCAACCTCTCGTTGTCTCCCCAGTGTTGGTCGTTTGATATCGTTTGATCGCCCCAAATGATGCCCCACACCCTGCCCAAGTGACCTCGTTTGATGATCCAGGCAGTCTTCGATCTGACAAACTGCAGACCATCACGCGCACCTTGCGCGGGGGTCCGCACAGCCACACAACACGTGCACATGCCTCGTCCGCTTGCCCGCTAAAACGGCGGGCGACGGATCGAGGATTGGTGCGTCAAAGGTGTTGATCATGGGAGCTTTGAAGAGTATGAGAAAGGCTATGGCTATTACAGTAGAGATATTAGAGGGTATGCAAGACCGATCCTGAGGATACATCTGGGAGGATTCGAAGGAGGGTTCATGTTGTTGATGAGGGGGTTTTCACCCCCGTGGCATCGTCAGCTTGACATCAAGCTAAATTAACAACAAACACATCCATTTTAGACCTGCTCTTCGTCTTCTGCTTGGTCCAAAACCTTTTGAATTCGATCAACTTTGATTCTCGATCAAGATGGGACATATGACATGCCCAACCAAGTCGTTTACTCCACCACTGCACCTTCCACCACTGTGCGCCTCCGGTACACCATATTATGTTTGCTGAAGATGGCATCCATAGACAACTGGTGCAAGGGAACTCGTCCGTTTGTAGGTTTTTTTCCCGAATTGCTATTTGTTTCTTTTCTGTACTCTCTCCCAAGATTGACACCTGCATTTTGGGGGATCGCATTTGGTGCAAAACTGGATCTGACCTAAATCCAGGACGGCCCCGTTGGATTTTCCAGTGGTTCCGGCTGTGTCCTCTCCCCTCACCCTCTCCCCATCTCCAGAGATTTGGTCCTTATGGCCGATCAAACTACCAGCTGATCCATCTAACAGACCGTGACACCTTCCAATGCTTCAACTTGCACCGTTGTTGGCACGTTGGAAGAACTTAAGCCCTTTTAGATCCTTTCAGCCGTTTCCATCTCAAATCAGGGACCTTGATGTCTCTTGAGGCACCTGTTGTGAAGTGCAAGTTCAGGTATTTGGCGGTATTTGGTTGAAGGTCATGTCCCAGGTCAGCACATGTGGACGTAACGTGACGCTAGCGATTTGCGTATCGTCGTCGCGAGCTGAGCGCTCGATCCCGTGTATCATGGGGTCAGTTCTTCAAGGCGAAACTGCGTCCAATCGAGCCATCGAGCTGGTGTAGGACGTTTGAGCTAGTTCCGACCAAACACAGAAGATAGAGATGAACACTAGGCTAAGGGTGCAAGGCCTGGCCTACATACTGCAGTGTACTAGGTGGAGGTCGAGCTCAAAAATTGGTGGTGATTTAGTACCTCGAATTCCTGGAATTGAATAAAGCCACTCAATTAGCTGGACAAAATCCAATGAGGATGTTGGTCTCAAGCGGTATTTGCATCCTACATCGATCCGCAAGTGATTCTGATCCATCGATCGCGTTTAAAGGATGGTTCGTTTTCAGGAAACTCGATGGCTCGACCGGGCATCGATCCATACAGCTTCCGTTGAAGATGTTGGTCAAAGAAGTGTTCGCAGCTGGTGAACGGAGTGGCGATGGGACCCAAACCTGGGATGAGGAATCTCTATGAATCTAATGCACTTATTGCCAGGACCGAGATCGGACCGGAGTTGTTGGAAGACATCACGTGGATTCGCTGCTTCGTGTATTTTTTTGCGCAGATTTGCATTGGCTTGTGAGTGCAAAGCGGCTTGAACCGCAGCCATCTAAAGCTAAATGTGTGCCAACATCTGCCCACACCACATTTGGCGATCCAAAAGGATATCAAAGAATATCAAACAACTGTTTGTGTCATAGCCGATGTACAAGGACCACAACTGTTGGAATACTGCAGCATCGATCCACGTGTTCCTGAAGTTTCTAGTTGCGGGGGATCTGCAGTTCTGCAGTTCTGCCATGCTTCTCAACTTCACCTCAAGCACGGCAAGGGACGGCGTGGCCCACATCATGGGCATCACGGTGCATCACACGGTGCATCGACTGAAGGAACTGAAAATGATGTAAACAAGAAGCAGCAAGAGGGGAACAGAAGAACAGAACTCATAGCGTGAGTTGAAAGGGACGAGACATCAAGTTGACGTGAAAGAACGATGATTGCTCTTCCCCCTTGTTACAGTCCACTCTAGTGCGATGCTTTGCCATGGCCGCCCATGTCCTCAACCACCACGCATCAGGCGGTCTCCACGCACCACCACGCATCAGGCGGTCTCCATGCACGCAACGGTGAGCCCTGCACGCTGGTGCGTGACCTTTGGGGATCTCCAGCACCTGGGCGAGAGTCAGCGTCGGTGCGTGAGTCCGCGACGGGAACCGTGAGTTCGAGTCCTGCGGTGGAGTGGGCGGTGTGAGTGTTGAAGGATCTGTTGGCCACGAAACAGTGCTTTCTGCCAGGTCCGGATCTGGTGGGTTGTGGAGGTCTAGATGTCATGGCCGGACGGAGGACAGAGTCATGGTGTGTCAAATGGAGAATGGAAGTACTATGTACGTTGGATAGTTTTTGAGCCGAAGCCATTGTGGATGTGGATAAGGGTTAGCTACAGCGCATGGTAGGCACATACTGTCACATACCCTTTGCGGAAAGGTTGTTCCTGCACAAGCTGTTGTCTAGTTTCCCAGAACAATTACCTTGATCGCAGCTCACAAAAGATGCATGAATGGACATTTCCCCATGTGTTGATCCTGAGAGTCTTTGTCATCCTTACTCATGTGGTGCTTGTTTCGAACGATCAAGAGGGAACTCTGACGATGTTGCGTATGTACGGATCATGTGTCATATACTTCGGGTAACACAAGTTGCTTGTCAATATGTATAGACCTCAGCTTGCTCCTTTCCAAGCTCTCCACGTGTCCATGCGGTCCGTTTCCCCCACCCGCCAGGCACATGCTGTCCCACGCGTGTTTTCCCGGGTTTAGTTGGGATCGGCCCAGGTATTTGCACTCCGAAGTCCAGGAGGCCATTCAGGAGCGGAGCAGATCCGAAAGCCATAAGAGCAGCATCTCACGTTTGAACCGCCCTGTGAACCGCTACGGAAACACGTGTCGCTACGGAGGTCTCATGTTCTGCATTCCTTGCACTTGCACTTGCACTTGGTTTCGGAAGGAAGCCATTCGCACTCCAGAAGCGACTTGAAAACACACAAAAGGTGAAATGTTTGAAGGGAGGCCAGACTTTACACTCGTTTGTCCGGACATGTTATATGGATTTGGATGGATTTGGTTGATCAAGCAGCTATAATCAATGGTTCCAAAGAAGCAAATCAAGCTGTGGAGCGTTAACTTTAGCCTCCTTGGCTCAGGATTGCCATGTCCAACTCAAGGGCCATTGGTGCATGCCCTGGAGCATTACAATCCTCAACAAACTCAGAAACCCAGTCTTTCCCGTGCAAGGAGGATAATTTCCACCAGGTCATCAACAACTGGCTGTGTGAAAATCTGAAAAACGTCAACATGTTGATGAACATCCACGGACAATTAACATCCAATTAACATCCAATCCAATTGACCCATTAACATCCAATCCAATTGACATCCATGGAAATTAAATAGCACAAATTAAGATCATCCCTTTTTTGGGGGCCTGCCGTTCCAGGATGGGCAGATTCCCGAGGATTCCTCGGGAGCCTATGGACCGAGCATCTATGTGGTGAATGAGAAGTCTTTTGTCCGCCAAACGGGGAAGGTGAAGGGCTGGTGTCAAAGTCCGAAAGCCCTGAGTTGGTGAACTCGTGCTTGCAAGAGACATAAATATACTATTCATAATATATATATATATACCCAAAACGACATATCCCAGCAGATCCCACCAGATCTTAAATCCAGTTTCACTTCAAGCAGATTCCCGGAGCTTTACATTTGGTTGGTGGGTCCATCGCATGTCCGTCGTCGAACACATTAAGTTATCCGGGTTTTGCTGAGAAAGTGCCCGGCCCAGTCGGCCTTAGGAAACCAAGACCACAAGGTCGAATATCTAGGGGGTATTTGGATCCCCGGACGTTGCTTCGACCTTTCAACGTGTTCAACGTGACCTGCCATGGTTTTGTATAGTGTAAAATCCTTAATCATGAGGTGGTTCGGTCAGAACCATTCAAGGAATGGTGCTTGGAAGCCTAGGGTCCGCTATTGCGTATATATATATATACATTTTGGGGTTCAGTTCCATGGAGATCCGTCTCACTGCCCCCGAACACCCGGTCACCCAGGCCACTCGGTCAGCCCTTTCGGAGTGGCCCCGCACGTCGGGAGACCGTCGGCTCTGACCGTGCGAGGTACATCAAACCGATTACGGCTCTGGCTGGAAAGATGAGCTGGGCCCTGATGATGAACCCCCAATGCTTGGAATCCGACGCTGGGAATGCGATCTCCAGCGTCTCCAGCTTATGGAGGGAGAGGATAGATAATGGAATTGACTGTAACTGTACGTGTACTGCTTAGATCCTTAGGTGATTTCTCCACCAAAGCCTTTTAAAGGGATCTTGGCTGTGTGCTGTTGAATGCCAAAGTGGCACCGATCTTTTGGGGGTTCGGGCACATTGATGAAGTGTGGCCACAATCACCACTGGGATCAGCTCGCCCTTATTTGACTCTGTTACGACCAAGACCAGGACTGCCCTCTTCGGCGAGTTTGGCTCGCACATCTCCAAACCCATCCAAACCCATCATTTCGCTCATGGCCAATGTGTTACCTTTGCTACTAGGAGCAAGAAACTACTAGTTACTATAGTAGCTCCTGGCATCGCCACTAGGAACCCAAGCATCGCTACTAGTAACAAGAAACTACTAGCTACTAGGGGCTCCTGGCCTTACTACTAGGAGCGTTCGGACGCTGCGACCTCGACCTCCAAACCCGCCAAGGACCTCTTCATCACGCATGCGTGGCAAGAAGGTATTTTCGACGCTGGGCACTGATCACTATCAACAGGATTCAACGATTCGAAGTTTGGATGTCCTAGCCATTCCTAACCTATTCATTGTGTTGTTCTATCTGTTCATCCATTAAAAAATAAAAATAAAACACAGCAAAAAGGCGGAGACTTGGCATATATAGAAGTTGGACCATAAAAACGGACCGCTTTTTCGTTCCAGTTCTTGCATTGGATTCCAAGAATACCAAGAAAGTTGGAATGTCCTCTTGGGACGAGATGCTCAATGACAAATGTAATAATGGCATATGATTCATATGTATACCATATGTTGGTATATTTGGGGTTTGTCCTATTACCTGTAACAGTCAGTAAACAGGCAAATCACTATGTTTGAACAAGGCCTGCAACCTAACCATGTTCATCCGCTGGGCCCTGGTATTTGGATAGACCCAACCATATTCCCATGCCAGTTCCCATGCCCTGTCAAAAATGGAGGATCTGCAAGAAGTTTGACAAACGTGGAGTATCTGTCACACGAGCGGCCTCAAAGGGTAAGGGTTTGAACAGCATGCGAGCATGTCTGCATGTGTGTGTGTGGGAAACATCCATCAAAATGGCCCACAGCGATGGCCTGGCCCCAACTGACGCTTCTTGCTCCTAGTAGTAATGCCAAGAGCTACGTTCGTAGCGATGCCCTTGCTCCGTTCGTAGCTTCTTGTTCCTAGTCATCATGCAACCGAGTAAAATCACTTGGCCCACACAGTTCGAGAAAGCCACCATATTTCACTCGAACATACTCGCTGGCATTCGCACCGGTTGGGGGTCACCGTTCTGCTTTCTCGGGCAAAAAGGCAGAGACGACACGCGTCGACACCGTGCCGTCGCCGGGAAAGCCTTCTTTGACACGAGGAGTTCATCGAGAAGGTCCTAACCTCCTGGCCCGCTCGGGCGCGGCACGCCTGGTGTTGTGCAGCGGCACGGGTTTAGAGTGGAAGGAACGGAAAGACGACCGCGGCACGAACGTGACATGGAAGGTCCGGCCCTAGAGTCATGATGCGTCATTGTTTCAGTTTTCTTGGTTGGGGATTCTTTTGTTTGGGGCATCGGCTTCGGCAGGCTAACGGCTTCGGCAGTTTCCAGACGACGGGCGCAGTAGGAAAAGCCCGAAACAGGCTGTGAGGAACTGAACCAACCTTACCAAACTATGGCAGATTGACACCCCAAACATAGAGGAATGAGTTCATTTGACCCTGGGGGTCAACCAGGGTGCCTTTATTAAAAAACAATATTCTATATATTATCTACTCCAGGATGACCATAATGGCAATGTCAGCCATTCTATGTCTATATGTAATTCTATCATAGATGAAGCTACGGCGTGTTTTTGTCCCGTCGTGATTCAGCCAAGAGAAATCGATACCAACAGGTAAACATTGTGGCTTGATCGTATGATTTGAACCCCGCATCATTTTGAATAGAAGAAACATGTTCTGCTGTTTCAGCATTCAACTGTTTGGTCCCAAGAACCACAAGCTCAGCATAATAGCTGTACCATTCTCATCATGTCGCTGGTCTTCCTCACTCTTGGGAGACCCCGCGTATCCTGCCATCGACGGTCGAACGACGCCCAGGTATGTTGGCGAATCCGCAGAATTTGGACATTGCCGCACTGCTCCATTCGCCCTCCATGCCGCGTTGGATATGGCAATGCGGGGGGGTCTGCGGATGTCTGCGGGGGGTGGAGATTGGCAGTGCATGTGTTTGTTTTTTCAATTTTGTTACCTGCAACCACATAGATATCAAACTGAAACTCCCAGCATGCACCCTGTTCCAAGGTAAGTCTAAGTGTAACATGATATTTGGTTGCTTGACCACCGGTGCAAGTCAGGAGTTCCTTTTTGTTGATCTGCTTGATGGTGCATGTCCCATCCTTTTGCACCTCCGAGATCGTCGACAATCACTGGAAAGCGAGCTTGATCGAAAGACATTCAGACGGTTCACATCCATTCATTTCAGGACCCGACACCGTGGGGTGTCTATTTCTTTTGCCCCAACTAGCTGTGATCCGGGGTGTCCATGAACCACCCCGACTGGGAGTCCATTCATTCATTTCTCTTCCCCATAACATCCATCCTTGAAAACCCAGAGGAGAGAGAGAGCGAGAGAGAGAGCCGTTCTGCAATGACCGTTGACCCTTCGGTGGCAAAAATGGAGGACCGTTGATGCGTCTTCGAGTCTTCGCCATCACTTCGCCGAGGTCTCCATTTGCAGTTGCTTTGCAAAGTTCGAAGTACATGCTGGTGGTGCCCAATCGTGACATCTCCGTCTACACGCGCTTGTGGTGCCGGTGACCGATTTAGATCGGTGTTTGTGAAGGACGATCTGGGAGTTCGGTGATTGTGTCTATACTATACCAAGGGCGTTTGAAGGATGATTTGCTCAAAAGACGCAAAGGACGTGGACACAAAGGAAAGTTGTCCTAGATATCATAGCAGCATCTGTATAATAATGATTTTACTGTTACTGTGATGAGCTGATTGCATCCTCCAAATTTATCCTCAACATAGAACATAATAGAACTGGGCACGAAATCCTTGCTCTGTGTATTCGCTGTGACAGCGCATTTCGCCCCACATCAGGTGTGGCTACGAGGCCTACCTGGCCTACGAAGGCGGTTTTACCCGACCATTCCCTCCCCCCAAGATTCAGCTTCCATTGATAGTCTGATAAATCAGTCTGAAAGATCTGAAAGATGCACAGGAGATGCAGTTGCATCGATTGGCTAGTCTTCAACAACGCCTGTTGTTCTGATCTCGCTTGCATTCGAGATGCTCCTAAACACTTCCACTCTTCTGTCCATGGTAGGACAGGTAGCTCTCTCAACTCTTCCAATCTCCACCCTTTTTGGAACAGTTGGGATGTTCTACCGCGTTTTGTGTGTGGTCAATCTTGCCACTTCACAGTTTGATCAATCATTGGCCCTGAAGCTAGAACCTCTGACCACGAAACCATACCACACCTGCAAGATGCCAGGTAAGAAGATCATCCGCACTGCTCGGCGCTCCATTTCCCGCGACGTGTTTTGCGCTTGGGCCATGATGCTCCCCGCACTGAGCATCGCCGTCGCACTGGGCCTGGCAGCCAAGCAGTGGCCAGGCATGCACACCTCACCGGGAGTTGAGAAGAACGGAGCGGAGGGACATGGAGGGACAAATAGGGACAGCAAGGACGCTACGAGCGGGGCTCCTGGCAGTACTACTAGGAGCAAGGACGCTCAAAAGGAACAAGGAAGCAACATGTTTGCTTTTTTTGTGATCTCAATTGATAGTACAGCATAGTACAGCCAGCTTTAACTTGTGCCGTAGCATTAAGGCCACCCGGCAACAGCTTACAGCAGTGTTTTGTTTTTTTCCCTGCAAAGCAAGTTATGAATATAGTAAGTGAATCGAGTGAATCAACTTTCCATGTGCAACACAGTGCTGCAAATCAAGGGCCATGTCCTCACCACTTCTGTTTCTTTCACGCACGGCCTCTTTCGCCTCCTTTCCCCATCGTTCCCAGGCCGCACAGAAAGAAAGATACTTTGTTCTCTTCAAATAGCCGTCGTGTGAAGTTGACACCTCAGGTATCACTGGAACGTGGACATTTACTTGGCCACTTGGACCAGATGAAGTCGAGGGGCCGTTCGAGTGCTCAAACCCTCGTCTTCAGGGGGTTGCTGTGAGAGCCAAGTGAAAACCCTATGTTCAGGGTTTCTAGCAGGTTTCTGTGTGACACTCTTCAGGGTTTCTGCGTGAAACCCTATGTTCTTGGGTTTCTGTGAGAGTTTCAGCCAACCTGCAGTGATGACTGGCCATGAACGCAGTCGGTCATGACGCAACTGCGTGCTGTTTATCGAAATGCGGAGGTGATGTATAGGTGGTGCCATGAACGGTCAAGGCCAAGGTGCCAAAGCGGCAAGATGCAGCAAGTAGAAGCCCCAAAGGGACCCCAGCAATCGGAAATCCTGGGATGCAGTGGCAGCAACAAATCGCGAAGGGATCTCTACGTTTGTGTGAAGGCTGCGTGTCAACAACCTACGACTTCTTAATGACATAATATTTGTTATACTGTTGCTTCTTATGAGAGGCAAACTCTCAGCATCTCTCAGATAATTTTTTGATCACACCTTTTGTTTTTACGACCGTTATGCGTGTCTTCGAGGCACCCGCCACTGAGCATGAAGTAAGAAGATCGAGAGGGAGAGAGAGAGAAGACTGAAGAGTATGAGAAACGATATGTCTGAGAAGCGCTTGGCCTTTTGTGGAAGCTAGTGTTCTTGTTCCGCGGCACATTCTGTGAATGACCTGTCAGAAACGATAGGTGGGCCAGTTCCACGAATGTGTGCATGTGGGAGTCCAAAACTGACGTGCCGACACGTGATCAACATGTGTCAACCCTCAGAACGGGACCATCCCTCCGGCTAGCTCTTTAACGGATGGTAGGAGGCTAAGACTGGGTAGAAGCCTGGAGACTGAAAGAAGAACCGCACACACTCCAATATTGTTATACAGAATACAGACTCACATTATTTTGTATTAGGGTCATATATTTGGGTCATAAATGAGGTAACAATAAGTCCCATGAATGGTCTGGGAACTCTGAATTTGGGACCGAGATGGTCGCTCTCTTCCTGGCGGGTGTGGTCAGTGAGAACTTTGGCTACGTGATTTGCCACTTGGGAGAGTTTGGCGGCGATGTGGAAGCGTGCCATTAGGCATTTTTGGGAGGGCTTCTGCAAGGTCACACCAAGCCTACAATGGAAAACATAACTGCCGCAGTGAATGTGAAGTTGATATGAACGATTCTGGAATTCGAAGCATCAAAAAAGAGATGTCTAGTTTGGATGCTGAAAGGCATTGGGTCAGGTTGGCGGCAGATTCCTGATGATGTCGCAAATTGTATTCAAAAAGGAGAGGTTGACTCTCCGACATGTCCAGCCCAGACGCTTCTCTTCGCATCCCCGAAAACACTGCAAAACACATGGCTTTTCGCACACGTTCAATCCGGAGGCAGCCCTGCAAACACTGCAAAACAAATGGTTTTCGCACAGGTTCAATCCAGACGCTTCTCTCCGCAACCCAGAAAACTCTGTAAAACACATTGGGATTTCGGACATGTCCACTCCAGACACTTCTCTCCACAACCCCGGTGTTTTCCGTAAAGCACATAGCTTTCGGACATGTCCAGCCCGTGCTCTTTCTCCTCCGGTAAAAGACAAGAGCCAGATAGCAAGCAAAAGAACAACATGCTAATAATGCCAGTCCTGCCTCGCACCACGGGCCTTCGAAAACGACCTCACATCCATCACCATATCCATGTTGCCACATGTTGACCCATGTTATGTCATGCTATGCGTACGTTGACCTCTGTCTTCCGGCTCGTTGGCCTATGCTGTCAGGGTGACTGGGGGGGAGGTCGACACGGCGTCGACCGGACGTCGACCGGAAGGTCGGCGGCTGGGCCGGCTGGGGGCGCGCTCGTTAGTTACCTTCGGTGACCACTGAAGGGCCTCCGGCTAGGACACGGGCGCGGTGGCCGGCGCCATTTGTCTCCTCTGCTTGCATCCCAGATGGATGTGTTCATTCAGTTGTGAACTGACGAACCCATGCCAAATCCATGGCACACCTCGGGCCCTGGAATGTCCTGAGTTGCATCGTTTTGGATGAATAAACCAACACAGGTATGGGTATCATATGGTATCATAACCCAACAAACCAAACTGCGTGTGGGAACATGTTTGACCATTTTGACAACCATCAATGCAGCTAAACACATCATCAGTGACATCATCTGAAGACCATGTATACTGTCGGCGAAGAGTTGGGACATATTGGGACTTAACGACTGTGCAAATTCCCATCTCATGTGTCCGACCATGTGTGCGCAACTCTTAAGCAAGTGCTAGCGGCTAGCATAATCGAGCACAGTCAGTCGAGGCTAGCTGACCCTATTCTGGTTGTCAGGTTTTAGTAATGAACGGGATTGGGTGAGCCAAAAAGAGCCTGGCGCGCAGGGGAAGCCACCGTCCGAAACATAGAAAACGCTGCTTTCAATCAGATAGAATTTAAATGGTTGAAAGCAGCGTTTTTTTGTTGCCTTTTCCAATTTAATGTTTCCTGCCAATTTTGACCACATGTGTCAGGACTTCTTGACTACTCGCAGTTGCATCTTCCTGCCGTCCCCAGCACCCCGGAAATGGCTGCTCGCGTGCCCGTTGTTGAGGTCTCATCGCCAACCACTTGGGCCTCGCGGCGTCCACCGCGCTGGCGGTTGGATGGACGATGAAGCCGGATTGGTGCCTTCGAGCTCGAGAGTTACTCGGGAAGCGGGTGGTTTTCTATGGTTTCTTTGAAGATGAAGAACCGAAAGCATCGAACATCCTGGGGGTTGGATGGTTTGGGATAATATGAAGAACCATCAAAACTGTCGTACATCCTTTATTGATGAAGAGCCATGCATGCAGTTTGATGTTCAAGATGATGTTCAGCCAGCATGATTGGCGCGGAATTTGTTGGTACACTCCCCTGGCCTGATTGATGAAAAAAACATAAGATGTTCTTCCCAACGCCCACTGGGCGTGTGGGAGGTTTTTTACATGTTTTTTTTGTTTTTGCGCAGTCCGAGTCCAGTAGACTATCGATCCGGGAGGATTCCTCCGGGTGGAAGAGGGATGGTTTGTTGAAGAAAGAAACTGCTCACCTCGACAAGCTGTTGGCCGAAGTGGCCGAACTCGACTGCAGGAAAGGCCGATTCAGTAGGCCGTTTGAGGCCACAGACCCACCGCCCAGGTCAGCGGTCGGCAGCACAAGGCTGTGGTTGTGTCCAAACCGGTTCGACCCCCCCATTCGACCTGCTAGGCTCGGTTCAGCGAGACACACAGGGGCGATCGATTCGGAATCAAGACAATCCAAACCTTTTGGTGATAGATGACAGATAGTACTAGTTCGTGTATATAGATCAATAGACGTCAATAGATCAACATATGATTTTAGAGGCAACACAGACGGTCCTGATCTTCCTTTTCCAAAGGGTTTCTTGGAGGATCCGATTTGGTCCATCTCCAAGCTCAAGAGAAAACGAACACCAACCGGCACAGTCCCGTGCGCTTTAAGGCTTCAAGTACAAGGTTTGCCAGACCAGGAGGCCTATGTGGTGCAACGAGTGATATTTCTCACTGCCGTGGCCTTCTTCTTGGTCTCTGACCCTCAGCCTATCGATCAAGGCGTTTGCTCTTTTGGCGGGGAGTCGTTCCCATTGGGACTGTCTCGAGGTTGTCCAACCCCGAAATCGACGGCTCAAGACCGGGGGTCATTCGGATCGAAGAGAGAGAGAGAGAGAGAGTGAGTGAGATGGCTGGAACCACCGGTCATTCCACCCGCCCCGCCCGGTCAGCTAGCCGCGGACGCGGATCCAAGCCTGAGGAGGTGGACCGTCTGCACTACGCGGCGCGCGAGTTGGAAGGGCTGCCACTGGGCGGATCTGGGGCGGATCTGGGCGCTTGGGCTAGGTTTCCACGGACCACGGAGGGTGGAAGCCAAGATCAGTTGAACTTTGACTTTTGTGGGAGGATTGGGAGGGTGGGTATTGAAGTGGCTTGTGCGAGTCACAAGAAATTTCCACTTCAGAGCCACCAGTTGGAAAGATGAACCGTTCATTGTCATCAACCTTGGGATACCGTGGGTCTGTAGAACATTCCCCACTGGATGCAGACCAACATCTACGGGGAAGAGGGTGTCCATGACGATCGACCCAACGATTTGTTCCACCTCCGAAGGCGCGACCACGATCTCGCGCGACTCGAGGCACGGTCGGACGGTCGACTCAGACCATGAACTGACATACATCTACATTGGGGGTGGTGCCAGGGGGGTCAATGTAGGCATAGTTCCATATAGTTCCAGTCCCCTGGATGGTCTGGCAAATCCAGGCCCGTTCACCTCCACTGACCGTCGCTCAGAGCTTCAGAGATCTTCGGAGGTTTGGGTCCTGACCCTTTTGGGCAGTCTCTACAATGGCCTGTTCAGGGCCTCACTGGCCTCTTCCTGACAGACTCAACTTCGGTCACGTCGAAAGCTCCGTGATTTCCCATCCCTGGGCCCCAACAAAAAAAAGCAGCGGCCCACGCTTTCGCGCGAGTCCCTCATCCTACCGGTCCGTCCGTATACGGGACCTATATAACATCGATCTACAGTATCTATAGTCGCACGCGGCCGCGCGGCAGCGACCCCAGGCAGCTCCGGAAGCACTACCAGGGCTCCATCCGCTACGCCAGCTGCTCCGAGCGCCACGACGAGGAGAAGATATGCCAGGAGATCGGCGAAAAGGCCCACTCCGTGGATCAGGCGGTCTGTTCGCGGATGTGCTCGGCCGGGGCTTCAGACGGAGTGGCGGGGGTTCCGATTGGTATCTCGTCGTGTGTTCAGAGGGAAGATGGTGGAAGGAGGTGGAAGAAGGGTGGAGGCTCCGTTGTTTTGGTTGAGGAGTCTCGATTGGGAATATTAGGGTGAAGGGTGAACGTTGCTTGGATGATTGCATGGGGGGGTGCGTTGGATGGCTGGTTGCATGGGTGACCTCACAATTTGGGTCAGCGTGAGACCCCTTATAGATCATCATTGTGTGGACGTACTCGTTTGGAAATGGGACATATAGATATCATTTGAATCAATATTAAGACATTTTGACAATCCTCTCGAGTGCTGAGCCTTTGTTCTCAAACGCATCCATTCATCCCCTGGAGCGCTGTGCGGCCAACAATGGAGTAACACCGGGTGAGGTCGGTTAGGACCTTGCCCCAAGCTGGTTTGGTTGATAAAGGAATCCTTTAGCTGACGTGACATGCACATACACAACAGATCTTTATATAAATCGTTGGGCATCCTCTATATTGGAATATACAATGATCTAATGTATACTTGTTCCACTGGGCGGGAGAGAAGCCAACGTTGGCTGTTGAAGAAAGAGATGTCCCGACGGGTCGTCAACATGCCATGGGCCCAATCAACAACGCACCTCCACGGGCAGACGGTCGAGGTCCCGATCGGTGGCAGGTCATCCAAGTCCTCATCTCTGCCGGGATGTCATCCCCAGCGCTGCGGGAGGCACAAATGCAGGGCGTAAGCATTGAGCATGCAGGAGCGAGTTAGAGACTCCAGGCTGGCCGTACTGAGCTTGTTTGAGGTTTGCATTTGCTTGGCTGCCTCTTCGGATGGCTCCAATGTTCAAGAGATGCAAGCTTTGCAAGGCTACGGCGTGCTAGTGACATATTGCCATCCTGGCCCAAGCACGGAGTCAACTGGCAGCTCTACCCTCCCTTGAAAACCGACAATAGAAGATGTTTCCGAAGCAGATCGAAGCACCACGACAGGTGGGGACCGCGGTTGCGACACTTACTTCAGACTTCCTCAAGCTATGGCCAGTGAAAGAGCTGCTAGAAGGAAAGGCTTCAGGGAAACAAACACCGGTTTCGTGGTGTTTTCCTTCCATTCCAAGACAGCCCTGGCAGTTTCGACACAGAAGCGATTCGAGGTTTGCGGAAATGTTTGAAGCATCACCTCCCAGGAGATGCGCAATTCGCCATCCCTTCACTCTTTTTGGGTCCACAGTTATTGCTTGGCATTTGGCAGCTGGGACGCTATGCCACCCTGGTGCACTGGAAACACTGGATTGGAGACTCGCCTGGCGAGGGCCGGGCCGGATGCCATGCAAAGGTTGGAAGGTGGGTGACAGGAACGTCTTACTCGTGCAAGCCCTCTTGAGGACTTGGTGGAGTCAAGACCCGGGCCCATCCAACCCTTGGCTAGTCTGGATGGGAGTTGCATTCTCCAACTTCATCCAAATTTTGACCCGGTGTGTTTTCCTTGGGCCCACATGGGTGATGGTCGATGTGGCTTAAGATGTTCGAGGCAGCAGCTTATCCCAAGGCAGCTAGCTTCCACAGGCAGGTACCATAGCACTACGAGAAGGATTGGTGGCGATGTGGTTTGTTCTCCTTTGTTTTCTGCTGGTCACCAGGCCAAATCCTACGTAATGTGATACCCAAGGAGCAGATCAAACAAATGGAATGTTGCCTGAAGCCAATAATACATCCCCACACGCAAACTGGCCCAACTCGCGTGAGCGAGAACGGGGGAGTTCAGAGCCCTTCCATTGAAGTGGGACAGTCGGGTAGGACAATCTCCTGAAGCTTTCTCCAGGCAAGCCAGTTGTTGTTAATGGTATCGATTAACAATAAACAAGTAGCTAATTCTGATCTGAATCCATTGTGTTTTTGGTGGCAAGAAGTGGAACTCTTGGGCTGGCTGTTCAGCATCCATGATCAGTTCAGCTCGCACGGAGAGTCATCCAGGATGGCAGTCGATGATGTTGCAAGTGCCTCGGCTGCCCCTGTGGCGGGTGCGTTTGACATGTTGTTGGAGAAAAATACAATAAAATACCTATCAGAGGTGGTTTAACATATTTTAACACATTCCAACACATTGACGTCTTATTTTTCTTTAACATGCAACATGTATATTTGTTGTTTCCGTTGCTTTGGTTCAGGGTGAATGAAAGTGCCCTTTTCTGCCTGCCTGAAATCTGCTTCGCGGCTTCGTGGCGTCGTTCCTCGCTGTACGCGACGCGATGTGCGAGTGCGACAGACTCGACGCGGAGGGGGAGAATGTCACAGTCGACTTCGGTTTCCAACCAGGCCACGGCGATGGGACGCTACCTAATAAGAATGAGAGGTGGGTTTTATATACGTGTCCTCCATATGTGGAATTTGGACCTTGCATGGAAGGTTCGGGTAATTACCTCACCCTCCAAATCAAAGGCCTCGTTTTACTGGGCTCTATTTTCTGCAAAACTGGTAGCAAAATTTGACCTCCAAAAACTTTTCGTGGAAATGGTGGAACGCCCGACTTTACTCCGTAAAGGACGTCTTTTACTTTGGCAACTATAAGAAGTAAAAGACATCTTTTACTTAGTGAAAGACGTCTTTTACTTGGCAAGTGGTAAAAGTAAAAGACATCTTTTACTTTATGCATATATGGTGCACATATACATGGCACGATGATTGTGATTCAACATGCTGCACCAATGGCTTTCCAGGAGCGTTTTGCTCTACTTTCCGTTTCGCGCGAACATCGCACAAACAAAATATTTGTGGCAACAAGCGCATGCATATTATCATATAAGTGGCGCCCAGGCTGCTAGATCTTTTAATATGAAGCAAGGTCGATGCGTTATAACACAGACAACCCATGTGGTTGAAATTGGCCGTTTCTGGCCCGGGCATGGGACCGTGACTCTACCGTGACTCCCACCTAAACCACAAAGTTTTTGACGTCCTTTAGTAAAGGACGTCAAAAACTTCGCCATGGACATCATTGGGCGTGACTCTAGCGTGACTCTATAGCATGGGACGTGCAAGCTTCTAATGCGATTTGTTGATGAACTGTCATCGGCTTGAACAATGCACGCGTTCAATTGCAAGCAGCAAACATGACTCCCACGTAGCCACGTATATCATGGCAATGCAATTGGTCAATTGAGCAAACAACGTATGCAAACAAATACACCAAGAAAAGATTGGCACGCGTGGACTTGCATAAGGCATGGCGCCGCTAAAAGTGAGCGTATGGTTACCATGTCTCCGGTATGCATGCACATATATATATATATATGTATGTATAAGGACCATCGAACCCAAAAGAATGTTCCATGAAAATGACCTTAATGCCCAAAGAAATTTTTGTGGAAGTGGTGACCTTAATGCCCAAAGCATCTTCCGTGGAAATGGTGACCTGAAAGTTTTTGAAGGTCAAAGAAAATGTGACCTCGTAAAACTGGGTCGTTTACAGCAGGACCTCGTAAAACTGGTCCTTTTGAGGTCGAGGGGATCATGTTGAACCAACTCCCTGCCCAAAAGACCTTGGACTGAGACCCCTCGTGTGAGCGGTAGTTTGCAGGGAGCATTGCCAAAGACTGGGCACATGTATATAGCCTTATAGCATAACATTGCTGGGATTCAGGCAATTTCTATTATTGTGGTTTCAGATCATGAAGCATCTTCCCACATTTGCAAGTTGTGTTGAAGGACTGCAGATTGTCACCCCCAGATTCTGCTGTGTCAACTCATTCCCTCTAAGGCACTGTCAGTGTTTGCAAGGCTGTGCTTCATCATTCTGCTTTGCTGGCGTTCTATTGATGAGAGATGCTTTATGCTGAAGGTCATGACCAAGCTAGCAACTCGATATGAACACTTATTGACAAATCACGGAATAGCAAATCGGGTGTGTGGAATGAGGTGGTTTTTCAATCAGCATATGGGCCCTGGCGATGACCAGCTGGTGATTTGACCGGGCGGTGATGTCGAAGTCGGGCAGCGGTTTGGACGGACCTGAACTAAACCCTGTTGGACCCAGAGTCTCATGAGGCCTTTGTGAATCGATCATTACCGTCCAGACCTTCCATCAGCATGCAGAAGGGTGGACCAATTGATCGAAGCCTCTTGGTCAAGCGCCCTCTCGTTGAAAAACCCGCCCTTCGTTTCATCCACCGTAACTCCGGGTGACTCGATCTCCGGTCGACCTCGCGCGCCAGCATCGGCGGTGGGCCGAGCCCAGGTCTCGGTGATGGTCATCCCAGGGCTCGTGGCCTTTTGTTTGGGCGCCAGCCGCTCGGAGGTGGGCGAGGTCGGCGTGGTGAGGATTTCGGTGGTCGGGTGCGGTGAGGATTTCGGTGGTCGGTGTTCTGCGTGGGCGACTCCTTGGGAATGGGGCTTTTAATGAAGAGCCTTCACCTTCGTTGCGACCTGTGATCTGGAGAGGGCTACCTGGGATTTGATAGGGATGTGGGATGATGTAGGAAGCTGCAGCGCTGCATGCTCCAGGTGAAGAATCTATCAAAGCTGGCTCAGCAGAGACAAGACCAACAGAAGTTGGTGGGAAATTAAAACATCCGTCTCCTCCACTAATTCTGTAGCATCTATAATTAGACTCTAGATTCTAGATCCAAACATCCATAGATGTTGTTCTTTTTTCTTTATATATACACCTCCAGTATCCTCCAGTCGTACTTCCTCATAAGGTATTTAGACCCTCCTGGCACCCACCCCAGTCCCACCTCCTCAGAAGGTTCTTGGAGGCCTAGGTTTATACATACCATTGAGATATCTGTCTTTTTGACAAGAATGTTTAGTTTCCTACGTCGGACTTGCTTGCTGAAGATCTTGGTGGAGGATGCTCCCTGATGAGGCCTGCTTACGACCGTCATGATCGTATTCATTGCTTTCCACATCTCCTTCTTGCTGGTACCTTGGGATGTCAGTCAGTGGGCTGAGCCATACCGCCATATTGTGCTGCCAGCCATACCTCGGTTCATCTAGAGGATCAGTTGCAGTGAGAGTTTTACAGATCTAGAGGATCTACCCAAGGGATGTATGAGGACGCTACACTTGCTGATGTGGGAGGACGAGAGTTTTCAACAGGTCAACCAACCATGAGGATTCCCGATCATTGAGTGCCTCACGTTATATAGGCTCATGTAGGCTCCAGCAAAGAGTAATACCTTTAAAACATGTAGAACATGAGACCTGAACCCTACAAAAACACATTCTTGATGCCGAGGCACCCGCCATACTCCGCGCCTTGCGGAACCAGGATTTGGCATGATTTGACCTAGACTTAGACTTTGCAGAGGGTTTCACATGAACACTTTCGTGGTGTTTGCCTGCAAAACCGGAAGGAATGAGAAGGAATGAACACATGTGTTGGATCTCATATTATCCATGATTCCATGCATCAAAGATTGATCCACACTCCTGTCCACACACGGAAGTACCTGGACCCTTGAAACAACGGAAGCAAAATGGGTGCTTTCATTGACATTTTCGTTAAGAGCCTATTTCAGGAATGACTCACCATGCAGCTTCTTATGTTTTAACATGTTTTTAGTCTTAACATGTTTTAACCACCATTCAGTACAGCTCTTTCATAGGTAACAATATCCATCATCCCATTTTCGCTACGAACTGGAGGGTCCCGGATTAGAATTCCATTTGGTACCATGGCCGAGTTTTGGGCAATGTATACGTCTCAATTATTCAATTTGTCTTTGGTTTCATACGCCCAACCAGACCCGGAGGGGTTTGAAATCTATTCGTCTCCATGACGTCCGCTGTTCAGACCTGCACCAGGTCTTAGTCTTCGCTTTTCTGGGCATTCGTGGCACCTTGCACCTGCCCGGTGGCTGCCCGGCGAGTGCTCGGTTGGATGGAGTTGCACCCCAGAGATTGTAAGAAAGAGGTATCTCACGTCTTTTTGTTAAGAAGGGGTTTCCAAAAGCCAGCGATGAGAAACCTTGCTTCACTGTTTCTCTTTTGGAACTTTGCTTCACGTTCTTGTTCTTCAGCGGAGGGGTCATGCATTGGTTGCGTCCATTGATTCATGGGTGACCATTCACCAGATTTGATCGAGTTCTTCAGCAAGGAGATTGAGGAGACAATCATCAATACTGTTCCTTTGGTAAGACCATAATTACTCTGTAGCATAATACTATATATGATATTATATGTATCGCATATACACACATTGCTTTGGATCAAAAAGCCTTAATGTATGCATAATCCATGGCTGCTGCCTCAAGATTCAAGGTACAATACAAAAACTAGCTGCAAATTGCCCATAGACATCTAAAGACCATCTAAATATTGTAACAAGTATTTGTTATGTGATAGGTGCATTTACGCAATGAGAATGCATATGTCGATTAGCTAGTGATTTGGACCGCTGCCCGAAGCGACCGAATGGACTGAAGCACACGAGGAGATCGCGCGCGACCGATCCAGGCCCAGTCTTGGTTCAGTTCTTCCTCACACGCTTTCAGTGCCCTGGTCGAGTGGCTTTTGCTTCGGTGCCCATGGATTGAGCTGTCAGAAACCTGAGTTTGGCCGTCTGGTATTGTACAATAATCATCAATTATTGCTTCCCTTATTTCTTTGTGACTTCTTTTTATTGCAGTGCTTTTCCCCATTCCACGAGTTGGTGTTTGCAGGCGCGGCAGCTGCGACGCGCCGGACACGGACGCTGCGAGCCGCACCGCGAGCCGCACCGCCAGTGACGCGACTGGGGAGTCCACGGAGTCCACAGAGAGGGGTGAGAGCTCAGAGACTTGGATGAAGCACATGCCCTAAGCTACTAGGAACAAGTGCATCGCTACTAGTAAGAAGTGCCTTACTAGTAGTAACAATGTTTGCTATTAGTGACAATAAAAGCTTCTTGTTACTACTAGTAAGGCACTTGTTACTAGTAGCGATGCACTTGTTCCTAGTAGCTTATAGTATGCCCTAGGGATCCAGTCGTACCGAACCTCAGGTGGAGAAATTCCTGGCAGCAAATCAGTCTCCTTCCTCACCGTACCTGAGGTATGGTACGAAAACGGATCCCTAGGGATGGATGCGGATGGCGGTAGCGGTCCGGACGGAGCGGACGGAGCGAAGCGAATGGATCCGGGCACTGCGATGGTTGGAAGAGATCCATGATACAAAAAAGATCAACAAAAGGATACAAATTGGACTAGAGAGGATTAGAGTTGATTGGACTAAAGGGATACAATTGAGGCCTCCGATAGTTGGAAGAGAGCCAGATTGGACTAGAGTCCGGATAGATTTTTTTGTTGTTGATCCTTTTTCCTGCTAATAGCAGGTGCCGAGGGAAATGAAGACCATAAATGTTGCTTGTGTTTGTTTCAACGGGGTTGACAATAGTTGGAGTGTGGTCATTTCAAACCGCATGCATTAAGAGCCCATTGGGAGCCCCTTAAGAGATCTCCATCAAACCAGACATAGGAAGAACAGTAGGAAGAACCATGATGTCGGGGACCGATGTGTTCAATCTATTCCCCCAGGGGGTCCACATACCTTCTCATAAGAAAAACACTCAATCACCCTCTCGCAGGGTATGTGGAGTTAACATCGCATCAGGGCCATGTTCAACCACCTCCACCTGAATGATCTTGAACTCTGGATTCTGATCGTGATCGCTTCGGCTGGCATGCTTTTCGACCAGCCGCACCGGTCGGACGTCAACAGCACCCAACAGCGGGTTGTCCACGATCATTCTTCCTCCGCATCCGGTGGAAAACCCACAAAATCGACCGGCCCGGAACCGAAGCTGTGAAGCGTCCGGCTTTGAAAATGGCGCCAGTGAATGCCAGATGCAATCACGAAACCAGATACTAGACCTTGGAATGCCTAGACTTACACAAAAATGACCGATGAATACCGATGATCGTTGTCCATGTTTCCGAGGACAATATTGCAAGTTGTTGCATGCTGTTCTGATGGTCGTGCAACGTGTGTTTGACTCCTATAAACTCCTGCTTTTGAACTGTTGAATCCATCAAAACTATATACTAGACGTCCCATGTCGCTCTGGAGCTCCCTGGTCCCCGGTCTTTTTCGCTCGTCTCTCTGAGGATGACACAAGTACCAGTCCCAAGCAGGATCTGCGCCCCTCCTCGCCCCTGTGGTGAAAAGACCGGCCGCTGGAGCGACCGGGTGGCGTCCGTGCCGTCGTCCGGCGCGGCGAGGGCCCGGGTCCGACTGTTGGGGTTGAGAACGGATGAACACGATCGATGTCCTTGTGACATAGAGGTTTATATGCGGTCATCATATGAATTATGTCAATTTCCTTGTGATCCTAAGCGGACGATCATATGACTTGATGAAGAACATCCCGTTTGCACCGTTCCCGAAACACGGAGGACCGGAGACCCCATCCGCGGAATGCGAAAAACCGTTCAGGCAGAGACATCCCATGCAGGAACTGAACACAAAAGAAAGCAGCTAATTGGTATAGTGACTACGAATCTCAGTGTGTTTTTTCCCCAAACAGTGTGGACACACTAGGGGTTCTTACGGTAAGTGAAAAGCAGCTGATGCTTAGATCGCTGAATCGCGCGGAAGTGTGCGGCTAATTCGCTGCTATTTACAGTACATTCATGCCTCTCGACATCGTCAATGTGCATTTCGACTGCGCAAGCTCGCAAAGTCTGGGTGGCCGCGGCGGGTGCTTCTAGCGACTGCGCTCTCGTTGTGGTGCCGTGCCCATTCTCGCACATGGTGGTGACTTTTCGTGGCAGGCGCAAGGGAAACCTTGTGTTTTGGTGCTCCAAAGTCGACCTTTCGTGACAGGTGCAAGGGATCGGAGCTGCTTTACTTCGAAATGCAGTTTTCGTGGCAGGTGCGGCACTTTGGACATGGTGGTGATCGTTGAGGAGCTCAGATTTCGTGACAGGTGCAGTGAATCGCGACTTTTGGACATGTGGACCTCGAAGTGCAGATCTCTGCGCAGGCGCAGCACTTTGTGCCTCACTCTCACACACTCACCTTCACACTCGCACTCACTCTCACCCACACTCACCCTCACTCACACTCACTCTCACTTTCACTCACACTCACTCTCACTCACACTCGCACTCACACTCCCTCACACTCACCCTCACCCTCACACTCACACTCACTCTCCCTCTCTCACTCACACGCACGCGCACACTCACAGTCACACTCACTCACCGCCACCGCCACCGTCACCACGATCCCCACCTTCACCACCATCACCTCTCTGGACCCCAATGCGTCTAGATCTCTAGACTTTCTGCTTATAGACCTCACACTCTTGCCGGTAAGTTGTGGTTCTTCTTTGCTGAAAGGCAGCCTGTTTTGGTTCGTGAAGTCACGACAATCACTTGCTTTGTGAGCAATGACTATAACAACTATATAATTAGTGATTTTGAGTAACTAAGCGGAACATATATATATATATCTTCCCCCAATCGGCTTGGACCATAAGCCGTGTTTTGCTATTAAAAGGCGACCTTATTTCATGGTGACCGAGCTCACCCCCCCTACGCAATTCATCTGTACAGACCTTCCGGGGCCAGGCAACGCTGCAGCCCTTGCTACAGACCTTCCGTCCGGGGACCGGTGGTGATCGGCTGGGACTGGGCCACTCTGGTCGACTGGTTGGACTGGCAGTGCCACTCTGAGACTCTGAGGCTTGCATCATCAAGCGTTTCACGCCGTGCCTCTATACCCTGTTTTTTCCAAGTGACCGTACTTGATAACCTGGTTTGAGGTCACTTAAGCCTCCTAAGGGTCACTTGGGAACCTTCAAATGGTCACTTTGAAGAAGCTGGACATGTGTAATTATACAAAAATCAGTTCTTTTCATACCCGAGTATAAATAAGAGGTGATATCCTGCTGATGTTGGATGGAATCATCACACCACGGTCATTTCTTTTCGTGACCTTTGCCCTTAGTAGGTTTCTGGGATCAGCGGCCAGAGGCAGAATCCCAAGAGGAACACACATGTTCCTTTTGTTGCAGGCAGAATGGACTTCTTGAAAACATTCAGGAGGAGTTGTATTTAACATACTTTCAACTGAATCTTTTGGGTTATAGCATCATTTGTTGGACGTCAAGTGCCTTTTTCCGTAAGGTGCAGGATCCCACATCGCACAGAATAGACATCTGGACCCCCACCGCCAAATCAGCGCTTGCGGCCCCCTTATGGCATTGTTTTGTCTCATCTTGTCTCAAAGCAATCAGTTGGCTAACAACATCACAACTGAGCTGGATCTTTCCAAGAACAGCCAGCCTAATTTGGTGCAATCCGTTAGACCCCTGTTGTTTGCGTCTCCCTTTTTTCGGACGGTGCTGAGATGCCCTGGACCTCACCAAGCCCTTGCTGCCGGCGCTGCAGTGCAACGACGCAGCCAAGGTCATGTTGACGCTTGGCTGGGTTGTTCGCGTCATGGAATGGCGAAACGAGACGGGAACGGCGATCCTGCGACGAGCTGGATGGTTAAGGCTTAAGGGATGCTTCAGGCTTAAGGCGGCCTGGCTGGGTTTGGGTTTTCGAGTTGAATGGGACTTTGATGTGCCACAGAGTGTTTATACTTCCTGTGCAGGTGTGGAATGTGGTGAAGGATTTCAAATTTGTTTCAAGATACACATGCGAAGGACATGGCATCAAGCTGGCCATTTCTGGTGTCAAGCTCAGAACTTCACCTGTGTCAAAGGGGTCCATCGCTGGCTTGCTTGCGGACCTTCGTCCGCAGGCTGCCCTCATTATAAGAAGAGCGACCCATGAAAGAAGGAGATGCATCTGTCTCCAGATGAGATTCTCAACCAGGCTGTTTGCTTGGCGTCCGCCTTCGGGAAGTGTCGGAGGCAGGCGTCGCTTCGTGCCTTCGACCGACCGAGAAGCGGACCCTGTGGTCCGCGGTGTGGTCCGGCACTGACAAGCGAAGGAAAGCGGTTCATCCAACGTGGCTCGTTTTGGATGGAAGTTGGGGTCCAAGATTTTGGATGGAAGTTGGAAGTTTTGGATGGAAGTTCATCAACTCTCATGGCTCATGATATTTCATGGATGTTCATGGGTAGTTTCACCATTCATCCAGCCATCAATCGCCATCGCACGCGACGGCCCGGATGGCCTTCCCATCGACGGCCCACCTTCGGGTGTCGGTTCTCTCAGGTCTCGCAGTTCGACGAGGCGTGGGGCGGTTCCGCGGGTCCGGTGCGTTGGAGTGGACGAGAAATTTGACATGGCGATATAGGTGGTTTGGGAGTGAAAAAGACCTGTGGGTAGACCTGCGGGAGTACCTGTGGGTATTCTGGTATTCATGTTGTGGTTGAGGTCTTCGTAGTACGACATTGCATGTGGTCACTGTGTGGAATCGCGGCGGTGGTTTGTCTTCTTCTTCATGTTGATGTTACTGCTGCTGTTGTTGTCAGTTGTTGGTGGTGGTTGTGGCAGCGTTGGTGTTGCTGTTGATGTTGTGATGTTGTGGGTTATGGTTATATTCCAGGGGCACTGTTGTTGCTGCCAAGCTGTGTGTGTTTTTGCTGCCAAACTGTGTGGTCTGTGGTCTGTAGTGGGTGTTGTTTTTTGACCCCTGCCGCCAATCACTTCACATGACCAAGAAGGAGATGAACTAGTTTGAATCTTTTGCCGTGACCACATCAAAGTTCAAAGATCAAACAAAAAGGGAACAGTTCAAGTACACACAGGAATGCCTTTGTTGGCCAGATGAGAAGTGGTTCCAAAAAAGATCATTTGCCCTCCAGATATAATGCATTGGTGATCTTTGTTTTTTCC